TTATTTCTGTGTCATCTACAGATAGTAGCTATTGAGTCTGGTGGGTAATATTAAAAAAAATGCCTGCCGAAATGTTTCGTAAAACATATCATACATAACAAGAAGATCGAACTGTCTGTTAACGTTATTGACAACTAAATGGGTAATAGGAACCATTATGATGTGGAATGGAACGTGGCGCTGACAGCAAGTAGACTACTGTGCTCATTGGACCACATCCTCCTGAAATGCGGATGGAGCTACGGTCACTGGGTTTGTAGACAGACTGACAGTTTGACTTGATCTGAGGTGTTCGGCATGGCAGCTGATTTTTGGATGTGTTGTTTGTTGGTACTGAACTTCGTAGGCCCACTATTGTAGCGTCTTAGTCCTGGGTCCTCCTGCGGGCGACGTAGCAAGTCCCACCTCAGGAGGAACAGAATAGCGCTGTTTTCACTACTTCATTCGAGGTCCAAATATAGAATTGTGGAGTCGCAAGCTTGCAGTGGTCATTACATTCCAGCTGACAGCGGCGCAAAAGAATAGTCAGGTTATACGCTGGCAAAACAGATCCGTGCTACTGTTAACAGGTGGCAACGACGGGCTGATAATGTGGCTGAGATAAGAGCGGCAAATACATTTTGGTGGGAGACCTACACAGCAACAGGATAACATTAAGGTTAGGGAAGCTGATTTGATAAAAAGTCATATTTTGTGTCTAGTTGCGTGCTTCATCGAAAGCAATGTTGAACCTTCGGTTCAGTCTCAGCAGTTTAATTGTTATTTCTATCATCATCATCAGCAGCAGCAGCATTGTTACTACTACTCAGTCCGCTCACCGATGAGACCAAGGTTCAGTTCCGGGCGACTTCATGTGAAATGCGTGGTGGACGCAGGTTTTGCTCCGAGGTCTTCGTTTTTACCCTGCTAATCATTTCATCATTTCTCCATGCTCATCTATCACCGCCCCCTTGACATGTGCAATAGCCCTGACCAAGCCAGCACATTATCACACCCTCGTTTCTAAGTTACGGGCTTCATCTCTGACCTGACACTTGTCTGATCTCTGAAGGTTTATTCGGTGATTTTATGAGCTCTGTATCAGCTACTGGGGTTGTGTATCCTCGGATAAGATACTTCGGGCTTGGAATGTCGCAGTTGTCTCCCGGTGAAAGCTGAACCCTTAACTCCCACCTTTCTCCTTCTAACTACTGACATGTCCTTTCTTTCTTCACAGCAGGCTCAGATCTGATAAGGCCGTATTTGGAAGCACTTCTACTGTGCTAGCCTGAATGTTGTATACGTCAGCGAGATGTTACCGGCAAAGCAATATGTTATGCTCTGGACCACAGCAAAGTCCTTGTATGGTAGGAAGTAACATTGCTTCTTGCATGTAGCTACTTGACCTCCGTGGAGGACAATGACGGATCAATAGATCTCGCGACTTTGAGCTAGACCTTCGAACAAGTATCCTTTTTTGGTATTGATGTATTGCAGACCATTCAGTGCTGCTGGATGTCCTTGGAGTATCTCTTGAGAGGTGTTTACCGTGTTATTTCGATCTGTAAGCATTGCTTGGCTGGTTTCTAGTTCATTGCACACACGCAGTGCAAATGTGGACGATTGGAGTTTCATTCGCAGAGGTTTTCACTTTGTCAAGCAACGTCTAGACCAGCACTGGGGCTCCCACTCAGTCTCCTGTCTCGTGGGTAACGGGGTTTTGTCCTTGGAGACAAAGTGACCTATAACTATTATTAGGAACGATGAGATAGACGGGGTATTACATGTAGTGTAGAGAAAAGAAATGCGTACAAAATTTTGGTCGGAGGTTCCTCAAGGAGAGATACCAGTTGAGAGACCTAGGCATAGATGGGAGGATAATGTTAAAATGGTTCTTAATCACACAAGATACGAGACTAAACAGAGGGTTTTTCTGTTACAGGATAAGGATTTGTGTTAGGCCCTTGTGGATACGACAGTGGACATTGAGGTTCAGCAAAAGACAGAATTTCTTGAGAGACTGAGGGACTGTTGCCTTCACAAGGACAAATTTGTTCTACGGAATCATTTTTTTGTGTGTCATACACGATATCTAGGCAGTTGGTTAATAAATAACAGCCCTTAAATATCTATCCGCATTCAAAACTAAGCCTGTGAATCGAATGGCGTCTCCATCATCAACCCCATCGCTCTGATGATGGAGGCAAGAGGCACTTTTGAAACGTCGGTAAAATAATACCAGGCTACGCCCCCTTGAGAACCTGAAATATTACATCCTGTAGTTGTATTACAGAACTTACTTTTTAGTGGCAACTAATTTGTAATTGGGTTGTTTGGAATGGTCTATAAAGCGGCTCTGAAATTGGCCGTACCTTCTTCCTGGACGTTATAGGTAGCCTACTTTCTCATATTCATAAAATGTCTTTCTGGATTCTATAGCTCAGAGCAAAAGCGGGTTGTTCTTTGTTATTGGCAACTGCAGTAACGTGACTTCGGCTTTTATAGCTGGGTATTATCCGTAGGAAGACGATTGGAGGAACAGATCCAGCGCTGTCATTCTGCTTCTAACTCGGCTCTGAAGTTATGAACATCATAAATTTCAGCAATAAGAGTGGATGTAAAAATACCAGTTTTGGGGACCACACAACGTATGAAGTATAGACCTGCACAAAATGTCATCGCTATGCATGTCTAAGCGATGAATACTAAAAAAGAGATGGATTTTGTTTGAGCGTTTGATAGTTCTTCAGCTGGTAGAGAGATTATCTTTTGTCATATGACCCGAAGGTTTGTTAATCTGCTCACAGGACCTTACCATAGCGTCTTATCCTGAAACAGATTAATCCAGTCCACAGATTTTAAAATACATTTTAATATTATCTCCTCATCTAAACCTTGGACTTACGAATGGTCTCTTCGTTTTCCTACCTAAAGGTTTGTAACATTTCTCATCTCTTCCATACGCCATACGTGTCCCGCCAATATTATCTTCATTCTTTGATAATTCCACAATATTTGGTGGAGTGTCAAGTCATACTTCTTAAAGACAAGCAAATTTATTCACAATTCAGCAACGTATATGAACTTGGATTGTATTAGGCCACATGACGAAAAGGAAAGTAATTTATGAAAATATATATCGTAATAAAATTTAGGAAAGAAATTCCGTCCTATGTGAACAGAATACATAAAAACGAGGCAGTACGATTTCATGAAGTTATACTGCACCAACGTTTCGAATGGAGTGGTGTTAAGGGTTCTCCGAATTTAATATCCCTTTTTCGTGAGTGAAATTCTGACGAACTGCAGTGTTCGTGATAATCTGTTTATTTGTTGCTGTGTTATCAAAGAAAACAGGTCTTTTGTGGGCCATGCTGTCTGTATCGGATATTATAAACTCTCACTTCCTTTAGTAAGTCATAACCGAGAGGAAATTTGAAAACAGTTTCTAAACTATTAGACATTAAGTATCTGTGTGTGGCACTGAACTGGCACGCGCCCAATGCAGAACTGAGAACTGGTTCAGTGCACCGCGACCGAAAAGGACAAGTAGGTGTGTGTTAAGGAGCAGGAATTTTCTGCATTGGAGTGCAGTTTTAAAATGCATTTCTTTTTGATTTTGCATCCCGCATTGACCTTGATGTTTATGTATTGCAGATAAAATACGAAACTTATCAACAGCATAAATGTTAAAGAAACAGGGCATGGTGGTATGGGCCATATTTGTGTGTGCCCAACATCACATCGACTCTGACGATGAAGGCAGAGACATTCTTCGATATGTTGGATGTTGTCTCCGTTCTCACACAACTGCATTCATTCAACATAAAAGTTTCAGATTTTAAATATAATTACGTTTTTTTTTTTGCAAAGTTTTCTTTTCTAAGAATCGGTATTTTTAATGAAACGTATTACCAGCACACATATTAACCAACCTTAATGGACAATGGAGATAAGTTGAATTTACGTGCAAACGAGTATTTATATTGTCGTTTCCGTCGCTTCAGTGAGCATCAGACAATACATGTTTGCTTCGAACGGCTATTACCCTACATTCCATTACAATGTCACCACCCCACCCCTTCAACACACTGTAGATCCTTCCGCAGCATCCAGTTTTGTTCCCATACATGGCGGTCCGGTACAGTCGCAGACAATTATTGTGACACCTTGTCTTGTAACGTAGAACCAAAATATTTGTGGACTATTGTACGCTGCTTCTCTTGTGTGCATCCTCATAACACTCGTTGGCCAAGCTTCCGGTCACGAAAAATTGATGTCCTCCCAATTTATGCGTTCTTTGCACACAGAGCATGAAATAAAGGCATAAGCAACAAATTATGGTTATTCGTCCACAAGTTTGGTTAGTCTTTAGTACTTCTCGTCCAACAACACAGAATACCGTAATCCGACGTTGGTGTATGAGGATGGGAAGTACAAATTATGAAACTTCTCATTGTCCAATTTTCTCCATTCTGTTCGAGAGTTCTGGATTTTGTTTTGGTGCGTGTGGTACCTGCTAAGCAGAATTAGGGATACTGAAATATTTCAGTCTTTGACTTCGACCTGTCACGTAGGGTCCATTAGGACTCGAACAGCTGGAAACTGAAGTGACAAAAGAATCCATGTTCTTTCCTTTTTAGTGTCGCCGTATTTTACTTCCTTCTCGCAAGAAGGAAAACCTGGGTTCCAAGAAAAGACACATTACGATAGTAACATTACAAGAGGAAGCTATTGGGTAGAATGGCTCAAGACAGGGACCGCGGTCAAGGCCAACAAAGAGTGCCTTCGCCTATGTGAAAGCTCCTTTGCCGTTTCTGTCTTTCGAAGAAACACACTGTCTTCATCTTCAGTCTTGATGCTGGAGGTAGTAAGCACCTCCGAAACGGTCAGTTTGTACCAAACTACATGGCGCAACATCATAGAAGACTACCATATTTACGTACACTCATCGCCGTTAGAACATTTAAATATCCCACATTTTTGAACTTGGGTTCGAATCTTTTTTCCTTCTGTTGTAGCTGAGAGCGACATCTGCACGTTCAGCCTGAGGACTGAACACTTCTCGTCCTGCGAAGATGCAGCGGCTACCAAGGATCTGTTCGTGGTTAGGACGCGGCCAGAATCCGTGCGGAGGTTATATGAGGCGGCGGCGAAGACGCCAGTCCACGTCATGCGGCAGCTGGACAGGTACCGTCGCGACGGCCGTCGAAGTTCGCGCTACTTCCTCTGTACTCCTGTCCTGGGCGGTGAGCGCCGTAGCGTCGCTAAGATAAAGCACAAGCCAGGCATCGACATAGAAACTCGAATGGTGAGTAACTCTGTGCAGTCATTTGTTTTCAATAAAACGATTGACGATAAACCATCTGCATAACTTTTTCCAACCATGCCAGGTCATCTTCAGATCTAGAGCTCTAGATGTTCTTCAGATGTTCCATAAACAGGAATTATCTGTTGCACAGAAAGAATTCATACATTTACAGGTGTATTAATCGACGTTCCGGACCAATTTAATGGTGTTTACTTGAACTAACATCTGTTTTAAGATGGCTGTTTTCTGGATTGTAGCTCCCTGTAGTCTGGTAGAAGTTTACTGACTTTCCAGAGGTGTTTGCTGCCCCAATCATCGTCCTAATGATGGAGGCAGCAACGACCTCTGAAACGGTAGTAAATTTCTACCTGACTTCACGGTCTTATAACCCAAAAGACAGCCATTTTCATGTTCACCGCCGTGAAAACCTCGAATCCTTCTAACATGTCGTAAGAAAATATTTGTGTAGATCGTTTTCTGTAGTGGCGAATATTAAAATTATTGCTATTTATGGACTGAGTAGAATACCTGGTTAATTAATGAAATAATAGCAGTTTATAAACTCAGTTTTGTTATTTCGTGAAAGACCATTTACGTTCTGTAATTTTTCTTTACAGAAGAATACCACAAATGCCGCTAAAGAGTCGAAATGGGTGTAGTGTATATATATATATATATATATATCGATCACAAAGGATGAATAGCGTGACTGATTCGAATTGAGAAGATTCCCGTATTGACGTTTAACTCTCTTATATTTCTCGAAGGTTTTGCCTGTTATTAATGACTGAGGATTTTGGGTCTGCCAGTCCAAGTTTATTGAAATCTTTTTTCGGATCATATGGTGTTTCTGTTTCCTGCTATTTAAAGACGCTTTCTCAGCTGTACAATTAAATTAGTGTGAAATGAGAATATATTTTTTTTTTGTAATGAAGTAGGCGAATGGAAGTGGTCTTTGCTTATTTTTAGATATATCAGTATTTTCTGTATGGACCGAGGTAAACAACAAACATTTCAACAGTTATAATAACGGGGTTCTGAGCCTGGAATAGAACCTGGGACTTCCCAAATACGAAAGAAGCGCCAGTCATTTGATGGCCTGGGTAATCGTTCTGTGTGTTTTTAATTTGAAGATGTACGGAAATGAAGCTGAGATTCTTAATTCTCGTTTTGTCACGCTGAGTAGTTGCATTTCAGGTTCTGGTGCCTGTGAATACGAAGATAGCTTTCTTCTGGGTTGTAGCGCCGTGTAGTCTGGTAGAAGTTTACCGACAATTCAGAGGTCATTGCTGCCTCCATCATCAGGGCGGTGAGGTACTCATTGTATTGATACTCGTGTACCACAAATCTGTGTAAGGACGATCTCTGTCAAACGCAATCCTTTTCTTATCGAGAAATATCTCTGGCCCTGTGAATACTGAGTAAAGGGGAATGCGAGATTATGTGTGATAAATGAAGATGCCTGTTGGAAAGGAGAAACAAACAAAGAGTGAAGAAAATAAAAATAAAGAATGGAAGGAAAGAGGCAGAACTGAAAATTTCTAACATCGTCTAAAGAGTGTTATGGCCTCGTGAATACTGAGTAGAAATAAATGAAAAATTAAATAATTTTATTTTGCTGCTAGGTTTTGGACTGAATTTATTTTGAGCAGGATTGGGTATTATTCTGTTCCAGCTAAATCAGATCCTGTAGCCGGATCCTGTGAACACAATAATGATCTTTCGTAATGCTTAAAAAAATCAAGAAATTTCTGCAGGTCTGTGCTCCGTAAAGTTTGTTATGAATGAAAGACATGGTCACAGCTAGTTACTTATAGCTCTACCGCTGTTGGCGAACTTGGACCCATGTCTCCTGATTTACATAAGAAAAATGGGTTGTAGGAAGCGTTGCGTTTTGGGCAGCAACATTATTAAACAATTTTTTCCTCACACCTTGACACACCAGTTTTGAAGGGAACCAACGTAACATTTATATTGAGGTTTAGAGATTAACGGATCGTACAACCGGACATCCGGCATTGGGCATATTGGGTATCATCTAATATTCGGTTCAGAGATGTGGCAACTCAGGAATTCCAACGGAACGCCTTCAACTTCTTGATTTCACCCCCCCCCCCTAAAAAAAACATGGTCCGGGCCACCGAGAGCCCCGCCACGAAGGCCGCCTCAAAGAAACAGGTACCGTGGACGTAAAGCTTCCAGCAAGAGACTACATCGGCTATGGATGCAAGGTTACTCAACTGTCTGCACAGGGGACCCATAGCCTACTGTTACTCGTATCCAGGGGTGTGCTGTCGGTTTGTTAACAAGGGACCCCACACTAACAAGTTGTATTTTCAAGCAAAGTAATGAATGACTCATACATGCAGTATAAGAAAATTTGTGGGTTGTTCGATGTAGTGTTGTCAAAAATCAGCAAGGGGCCCGCGTGAGCCCCAACGATGTCTTTGCAGCACACTGTGCTCCTTTGGGTAAAATTACGTTGGATACGAAGTGGTCCTCATTTCAAAAAATGAAGTTACATCTAAATTACCACAGATAAAATAAAGCACATGTTCTGCTAAATATAACACGGGAAGGGTTAATATGTTATGTGATGACCATTTCATGGTTTCCACTGCCACGTTAGTCAACAAGTGGGTGTCAAATGAAAGGAGACACGGATTCCTTGCAGGTCGCGTACTGTTCCCCATTCCTCCACCCTAGGACAGACACACCTGTCTCCGAGTGCTAACTGGACGTATAAATACAAGATAGTCGCTTCTCCCATCGTTCTTACCTGAGGACGAACTTCAACTAGCAGACGGAACATAGGGAATTCTGAAAAAAATAATTCATGTTATCTTCGATTGGAAGATGACGAGAGATTCATGTATGGAGTATACCATTTAAATTGCAACCAAACAAAAATTACTTCCAAGGTACAAAAATGAAATCAGAAGCAGGTCCCAAGGTCTCGTGTCGTAGTTGCCTTTGTTGCTAGGCCGCTGCTCACGCCAGTTGCGCAAAAGCTCAGTAGTCGGAGTTAATTTACTACTCGTTGATCACCTTTTTTAAAAGTCTCGGCGCTGATGCATCTCGTTAAACATCAAGTAGCAGCTTTGTGGAACTTGTTGCCAGCGACTTCTTAGTTTCTGTTGTTGACCGTGTTTACATGCAGAGATGCAGACATCCTCGCTTCTTTGGACCGTCTTTGCTACGTTTATTCTCCAAAATTGTCTCCGCCCAAACCCCTCCTCTGTCTTTTACTTTACCACAAGCCTTTGTGTCTACCCACGCAGTTCGTGGGCCTTCGTACTCAATTTATTAATTATCTGAGTATAAGGGAACTATAGACTAACCGCAGCTGCGCCCAGGTTCATTTCTGCATATCTGTGTTATATGCGTCCGTCTGTGTAGTGTTCATTACCGCTTTCACAAAAGCCCCGTAATGGACCGCTGTCCTAGGCTAGTTAAGCCCACACCTTCCCACCCTGTGTCTGTAGTATCCATTTTAATATTATACTCCCATCCCCTCTTCGCGGTTGCTTATCTGTTGACTGTGGTTAAAAACAAATTAGCCTTGAAAAAGTCTAATTATTTTTCACAATATTAGAATTGTTATTTATGAAGTTTGTCTTAATGTCGTAATTTAAATAAAGCCGTTTTAAAAGTGTCTTCAGAAACGTCGCTGTCCAATATGGTGATGATGATGGTGATAATAATATTAATAATGAGGCTGCAGCCATCAACAAGATGAATCATCATCATCATCATCGCTTTGGGTTAATATATTAGGGGCACTGGCACGAATGTTATTTTCATCACAGAATATTTTATCAACAAGAAAACCTTTTGTGGTCTGCTTTTGCTTGTACACGATTGTACCAAACCACCGTTTACTCTCCTCCACGAAGTCCTATCGTACGTCATTCCATCATAATCACCAGGTCGGCCAATTCCTGGAGTTTAATTCAATTTTAAGCGTTGACTTGGAATGCGAGAGACATTTGGATTAGGGTATAATGGATGAACAAATTATGGGGCCTCAACCATCATTCAGTGGCGGAGCGTGACTTGTTCAGAAGTGTTTGCTAAGTGTCGTGAACGTTTTGGCATTCGAATATATACATCGTTTTTGCACTGGGCCCTTCAATTCCCAAGGCTGAATGAGTTACGTAAAATTGTTATTACGAAACACGGATTATCTTGCGGACTGTTTAATGACAATCAGCCACTGTTTTATCTGAGGTGGTAGCACGACAGATGAAGCTCGGAGACGCAGACGGCTGCATTTGGTAACAGTTGCATACATGTAATTTTCAAAATCTGGACAGGCTCTTTACATGAAGATGGTTGTTTCGTACCCTGTTCATTCATGATGAATCAACTCTAGAATTCATGTACCAAATGAAGTGAGAGTTGAATTCTTGAAGCGTAGGTTAGGAAGCAAAGTCAAATGACCTTTTCCATGCAATTCACATAAAGTAATAATTGGATAAATGTGAAATTAATATTAACTCTTCATGTCTTTCGTTAGGCTCAGCCCGATTTTCGTGTGGCAATTATATTCGGATCTGATATCGGGGGATTGGTTTATCCTCACAGTATCAAAATGTCGCAAAAAAATAAGACTTTAATTGGAATATTTTTGTCCAGGTTTGCTATTTGTTTAAATATGTTCTGAAATTGAAATAACATAAATCGAACTGGGCGAATTAAGTATGTTAAAGTAATCAATTATGATGGGTTCCTGACTAGGTTATGAAGAATCAATTTTGTATATAAGGAAGTATAACGTTTAGAATTTCTGTAACTGGATTATTTCCAGCCTGCTGCTGTTAACGACCTGCGACGTTGGACATCAGAGGAAGCTTTTGGTGACATAACTGTAACCCCGGACTGTACAAGCCGTATTGGTTTCTTTATGGATGCTGGAGTTCCTGAGGTCGGTGCAGAAGATGACAATATAGATTCCGGCACAGATCACCGACTGCCGTCCCCCGAGGAACAAGTCCAGACTGTGGCATTGCGGTTCCCCGCAGAACTTGTGGTCGTGGACGTGTCAGGACGCGCCTTCGACCGAATGACCAGCTTCAGACGTTCACTGATTCATGTCCAGGTAGACGCAGATGGCACGGTTAGAAGGCGCAGTGGCCGAAACAGGAAGCCACGTGGTCGACGAAGGAATACTATAGCGGGAACCGACCAACGCGAACTTGAGGAAGCAGTCACGGGGTAAGTGGGAGTTAGTACTGAGCTTTATGAAACAGTTCTCTGACAGAACAATGAAAGTATGATGAAAGAGCCTGTTTTGTCTGGGCGTAAATATCTGAATATTCAAGTTGTGGTAATAGATTCAGGTTCTTAAAAGTCAATGTAGAGTTCTGAATCTCCAACCAAGGCACAGGTGATTGGATTTTAACAAAGTAGATGTGAGAAGAATATTGTGTGAGAATATTCACTGCACTCATCTTGTTCAGGGTAGGGTCCACTGGTGGGTTATTGTGAACATGGTAATTATATTTTATTTTGATAAGAGATGGGGAATTACAACATAAGTGTCTGAAGAAGGATTGTACCTTTGGGAGAAAATCAGTCGGGCTAAAAATGGCTATCTAGTGAGTTATTCACATCGTCTAAGAATGAAGAGTACATGTGGTAGTCACGGAAATTTGTGCTTCCACAAGTCTCCTCCCTCCCATCTCATCCTTCATTGTCACATATGTACATGTGTTCTGGAAATGGCAATTGTACTTGTTCACAGAATCATCTGTAGTATGTGCATACTGAGACAGATATCAGTAACATCTTTTGTCTGCCATATGATGAAATATATCTTGACATTTTTTAATAATTAAATCATAACGGTAACTAATAAATTAATTGAATTGAATTGAATTGAATTGAATTAGCCTGAATATACACAGTGTTCTTGTCTTCCATTTCAGGGATGCCCCAAGTGGAAGTGCGGGTGTACCAGATATTAGTGCGGACTCTGTCTCTGTGATGCGTAGTGCAAGCAGCGACCTTCTCCGTTCTAAAGATGATTCTCCACTGGATGGCAAGAAATCCCATTTCAATACACTGAAACAGTGGGGCAAGGTGAAATTAAAATTGATACGTAGTGTCAGCGGAGAATCTAGTAAAGCCTTACCAGACGAAACAAACATTTATGAAACAGTTATTGCTAAAGGAAAGAAGGGAGAGACAAAACATGAAAAGAAGCAATCATCTGTTGGAACAAATATTCCCATTTCTACTTCCTCTGGGGCTATGAATATGGCTGTTAAATTACGTGATAGTTCGGTACGAAGGCGTGCACTCACGAATGGTAAAGAAGATCCTCTTCATTCATCATCTGGAAACTGGAGTGCAAGTTCAGAAAGTGGTCGAGCTTCAATTGGTTCTGAAAATACTGCTACAACACATCAGCCAAAATCAACGACTACCCTCTCTTCGGCTGCTACGTCCAGCAATTCTCTGAGTCACCATCAAGCGCCTTCCTCTTCTGCTGGCAGCCGCCGGAAATTCCTCAATACTTCTGCTTCTTCCTCTATTAGTGAAGGGACCCTGACACCTGATATTATGTCAGACCTTGTGGCTCCTTTCCCAGATGATGGTGAGACAAGTTCCATTTACTCCTGTGACACTGAGGGTTACTACACTTCCTTTCATATGGATAGTGGCCTCAAAACTCTTAAAGAAGAAGAATCTTTGTCACCCCAGACACCTCTTCATTCCACCATGGCTCTTTCTACATCACCAGGACGAAGTAACACTACACTAACAGCCGAGAATGAATATGAACTATTTGGGAAAGGATCTACAAGCACAACAACAAGCTCTGCTGGGACGGTGTGCACCACACTGTTGGTAGGTAATGACAACAGCATGTCAGTTGCTCCAGCTCCTGCAGTACCTGAGCGAAAGAGTTCTTTGGAGGGGAAAGAAGGAAAAAGTAGTCAGATGGTCGTGGCTGTGATTCACAAACAACAAAGTGAAATTCCATCAGAGTCACCGGATAGTGGTCATAACACATCAAGCTCACCTGTTGATTCTACAAACAGCCCACCTGGAACTCTAACTGGAAGGAGTTCTGAATATGAGTTCTCTGAATCCGATTTGGAAGGCGTTGATAGGATAGAGAGGATTAGAGTTAAGACAACCATAAATTCAAGTCGCATTCCATCTATGTGTGTCATTACCCCTCCTCAGTCAGATGATGAAACATGCCAATATGTGCCTTCTTATTATAACACGAAATATGGTTCTCAGACACTGCCTTCACAAAGTTCAAATGGGAACACTAGGAGCTACCAATTAACAGAGAGAAGAGATAACAAACACCACCTCAATCTGGAAATGACCTCACCACAACAGAGCAGATCCTCATTCTATAATTCACTTCCAAGAGCATTTGAGAAACAGCTTAGTACAGATTCAGACCATTCGAGTGAGACTGAACCTTCGAGGATAAGGAGTCGTAGTGCATGTAGAGCACCCACACCCATGGATTATAAAGTAGAGAGGTCTGCTTCAGCGAAGACTCGAATGCATGGCTTATCACCTAGTCCAACAAGAAAGGCACTACTTTCAAATGATGCTCAAAAGTCAAACACTCAGCAACAAAAGACAGCACCTACATTTAGGTCCTCCCTCCAGCCTTTCAATAACATGATAGACAAAGTAAAATATGTCATCTCTTCAGCTGGTAGTAGTAGAAAGGGGTCAAAGTCATCAGCAGGAGAAGAAAGTGACAATTCACCAACAGAGTCTAAAATATCACCTCCTGCAGATGCTGGTGACTATGTGACCATTGCTGATGTTCGTAACAACACCAGAAATGAAATATCACGCCAAGTTCAAACTGGGAATGTTTATTCGAATACTGGTGCTGTGAGAACCCCATTGTCTCCACAAGAGAACATGGAATATGTTTCATTGAATGAGCTTCCTGGTAAAGTAAGGACTTCATCACCACCAGGAAATGTTTTAGTATCACCTTCAGATTCACTTGAGCGTAACAAACGTCAGGGAGCAAGAGTGACATTAGATTCTGAGGGTAAAGTTGTTTACTTTTCTGATAGCCTTCGCAGAAACAAAGGTGCTCATACAACCTTCGAACCAGGTCCTTACGTAAAGGACCCTACAATTGGAACACCAGTTGGCAGTCCAGTTCCAGCGCACAGAGTTCCTAAATCCAATATCCGTCCAGTTGCAATATCAAACCAGCAAGGCCGTAATTCTCCTTACCTTGTAGGAGGCACAGTTGATGTTCTCAGCTCTCCAGTGTCCCAAAGGGGCAGGCCCCTGTCACCACGACAACAGATCTCACCCACACAAGGCATACCAACATCACCAACTTCCCCACAGCTTGGAAAGGTTATAATCAAGGCAGGAAGTAAAACTACACCAATGACAAGAGTAGCATCTCCACCTTTAGCTGTAGCTTCCCGTCCAATGTCCCCGAAGCCTTCTTCAGCAATGGCAAGTGGTCGTGGGGCGTATGTTCATATGCAGTCAGCGCATCAAAGATGTGTGAGTCCACCAGGGGGAAGATCAATAGCTCTGCCTGCAACCTCACCCGCAGAGGACGACGAAGGTAAGATCCCGCCTTGTCCTGCTAACCCGAAACTCGTCGCCTCATACTTGCAGCGCACCAATCCTGCCCTCTACAACCGCATCAGTGAGCAACAGACTTCTTGCAACCTCAATCCAACCAAGATAAAACGAAGTGACAGTTACCGGATGGCTAACTCACCACTCATGCAAGCAAGGAAGCTGACCAATATTGAGATTGCTGCAGCAAATATGAATAATAACCCCAATACCAAAATAACCTTCAAGGCTGATACAAACCTTGATTCCATGAAGGAGAATAAAGTTATTGGCTGTGGCAATGACAAGAATAACCCAATTTCAGAACGAAACATGGGCAATACAAGATCAGACTCTTGGAAAGTCAAACATGGTGGTGATAGTGGCAGAGTTGAATCAGGTCAGGCAAAGGATGTAACCCTGGCCAAGACAGTGATCAATCCTAATCTCCTTGGACGGAAGTTCTATGGGCCGCAGATAAAAGTAGACCCAAACCTATTCTCTGCCACTGCTACTCCGCCTGTAACTGTACCACAAGACACTGAGCATGCACGAGCGCTCAACAATGCAGGTAACAACACGGAAATCTGGTAATGCACTGAGCGTTTTGTCCACCTTTGAATTGGCTTGTTTATGGTAGATTGCCTAGTTTCTGTGATATTTGTTGCTTTGCTTTGAAGATGGACATTTATATGTATTTTTGTATGTTTTTGTAGGTCTAATTCAGAATTAGTTGATGTAGATGTAGTTAGTAAACTGCACATTATCTTGTTCAGTTCTGACCATTGCACTTTAGGTGTAGCTTGCATGCATACCTTTCACTACAATATTATATGTCACTTATTGGAAATAAAAGGAAAGATATGTGTTTCATACAAAGAGCTGTGACCCTTCTTCTGTCTGAATATTATTTGACATACTATTTTTGAAATTACTCCCAAAGAGTAGTTCCACGAAAAGGTGTTTATGAAGTGTGTCTTCTTCACTCCATGTATGGGTTCTTTTCATGAAACAATTTTTATATTGTGATTTTATTGGCATTTCATGGGATTGTTGTGAAATAGCGTGGTATGGATGCTTTGCAAAACTGTCATATTTCTTGAGGTCTGGTTGCTCTTTGTTCATTATATGATATATTCTTTGGCACAGATTGAAAACTTTGCTCTTCATTTTACTTGGGTTGCACTAATGTTACAGATTGTATGTATGTGTGTGACTTGGCAAATATGATTGTACATGCAGTGATTTATTAAGTTTGTTCCTTTCTGTTATTTTAAAAATAATTGTAATGTATTATATATGCAGCTGTATATACAGTTTGGTTTTAAATAGGGAATGCATTTATATGTTGACTTTAATTTTTATAAAATTTATTGCAAAAACTGGCACAAAAATTTATACTGTAGTTAATCATGTTACATGTTTCTGCTGTAAGATTTTTTTATATTTGCTTAGATATTTAATAACTTCGGAAGGAGAGGTTTCAGATGCAGGTTTATTAATCTCAGAAAACTCTTCAATCAATTGAGTGCAATTGGAAACCTTTTTATATGGACTGACAAATGTCCAGTGTGCCTTGAAAATTTTTGATGTGCATTTAATTTAAATGCAAAAGAAACAAGACAGAGAAGTAAAGAAAAGTGGATGGAAATGGATAGATGTGAAGAGAACATTTACCATATTAGGGTTTCATGTAAACCAAGCTCGTAAATCTTTTAAGTACAGTGGTAAACTTATCTTCTAGTACCAACTACTAAACATTCACTAGCTCTGCTTTTTGACCACAGTGTTTATTTATGGGTTTCATATGATTATAAAATTAACAGTGTGTATTTCCCTAAACAGCGTTAACTGAATGATCTGTATAATGGAGATGCATTGTGTTCTTTTTTGAGGTAGGAACTGAATTTTTAAATATAATTTCTGTTTGAGGGGTCATGCAGAAGTTTGTGGATATTTAGTGCAATGTATGAACATTGTTCATGATGGACTTGATGAGTATGTGACATCTCACTACTGCTTGCAGAAAAAAAGCATGATGTCACTTCAGGGGAAAGCATGATGCTTCTTGCAATGGGCATAACATAAGATGTTTGCTTTTTTCTTTCATACTTGTATAAACTGACAAATAGAGATATCTTTCTCATGGAATATAACAGGGCAACATGCTGATTGGTGTGTTCTAAAATTTGTTTCCTACATGAAAGATACAGTACTTAGTGGTATGTTCAAACATAAATTCATAATTTGCCAGCACATCACAGTAAGGTCTTAAGTGTCAGATTATGAGGTATGCCTTCCAAGGTACTATAATAAATGGTACACTTGCGGTAAAGCTGTGTTATAGACTTTGATTCTGCACTGAGTCAACAAATGTCACATAGACTTGCTAATTATAATTATTTTAAAGAGTTCTTTCTTCTTTTTTAATATAATCCAGTTTGCCATGTGATTCTTCGATTTCAGTTCCTTCAGTTCTGTTTCTGACAGATTCTCAAAATGCACTATACATTTAAAACTACTGCTTACATTGAGCTAAGGGCTGTGGTTTCCAAACTCTTTAAACAATATCTGTGCAATATCTTACTGATCTTCTGTATTTACTATATATCTGAATTTTTCCCCATATTACTAGCTATTTATGAATTTAAAGGATTGATAGAAGTTTCTTAAAAGAAATTCTGAATCCATTGTTTTATTTATTGCTCTAGAAAGAAGAAATTTCAGATTAAGTTTAGATTGTTTCTACCTTTGGCTAACTGGCAATGCAACTTTGATTAAAAGATACCATAATTGAGAATGGCTTGGAAAGTATTTAATTTAATATGATTATTTTTTAAAAATTCTGGCGTGTTTCTCCAGTTCGACATCTGGTAATTTCACATCTCATTATCTTATTCTTGCTTTGATAATTCTGTGCAAATATCTTAATGCTTTCATAATTTCATTATTTGTTTTCAGTGTTTGCTAATATAATATATTATTCCAAATAATATCATTGCTAGTTCAGGTATGTACATAGACAGTCATATAATTATGTAAAGTACATTATTTATTAATTAAATATATAAAATTAAAAAGTGTACAATATTATTTGTCACTTATGTGTAAAATTTTTATTTCGTAAAAACAGCAAAGGAGTTCAAAAGAAAAGGATTTTTGCTAAACTTTTAAAATTGCATTTGGTTTTTGTGTGTGTGCATGTACATGTGCTGTGTGTCTGTTTTCCAGTAATGCAAGAATAACATTTGTTTTCCTTTGTGAGACTGCATCTGTAGGTTATGTATATCTGTGAGTTTATGAAATGCATCTATAAATTCAGGTTATAGATAGACCATTATATGTCATGATTTAACCTTTGTCAGCTGTGTGTCACAACTTATTGGCAGTGCAGTAGGTTGTATGTAACAGTAGCATACTGCTAATTTATAAAATCCAGCAGTCAAAGCCTGGCCTTTTGTATGGAGGTTTAAATACTTATTGCTGTACAATAAATGAGCTGGTGTAGCTCAGTAAGTATAGTGACTGGCTACGGACTGGACGACCGGGGTTCGATCCCCGATGGTGGCAGAGGATTTTTCCTCTAGCCTCTGCATCCAGACTGGCCCTGGGGCCCACCCACTCCTATCCAGTGGGTAATGGGATCCTTTCCCAGGGGTAAAGTGCGGCCGGGGTGTGATGCTGACCACTCACCCCCATCTGGTGCCGAGGTCAAGAATGAGTAGGAGCTATACTGCCTGTCCCCCCAAGCGCCTACATGGCGCATAGTGGCACAGCTTTACTTTACTTATTCCTGTACAATAAACTTTAAAAGTAATTTTAAAATAAATAAATCAGACAAATATCTGTTGTATGGAACATATTCACTTAGAATTATTCAAACAAGTGTCATTGCATTTTAGTGTGCACATTAAAGACCTCCTTTTGACAGTTTGCCTCATGCAGGTTTTTTTGTTAATTTCGACTAAACCTTTCAAGTGACCACAGCTACAAAAGCTACTTTATTCAGTATTGTTTGTAGCTATATACAGATATTACGTAATTATATGACACTTGCACTACAAACTTGCAATGATACAATATATTAATGCCATCTTCTGAAATTCTGTCTAATTATGTCTTTGTAATTTGAATGAAAATAGAGATTATATCTTATCTTTTAACACTTTAATTCAAAATGTGGGAGATATGATTATGATAGATGAAAATATTGTTATGGACATGGTCGAAGGATTAATCAAACATCATCGTCAATAATATGTTGTCTTTCTCATGTAAGTGAAACAATACACAAGTAATTTTTGTGACTTAATATTCTTAAAACATTTAAATTCAAATGTAATTTTTATTCGTATGTTTCTGTACTTTTCCCTTTTGATTTAAGAAGTCCAACCAAATGCCATAATAACTACTTTACCTAGTCTCATAAATTCTCTCTCTCCCCAACAGGCCATTGTCCACAAACATCAGATTTATATTTAACCCAGTTGTGGTACTGAATGTCAGCATGACTGTGTTTTGCAAGTTGCTGAATTTGCATATTAAACAAATTGATGTGTATACGTTTATTTTTAACGTAATTGTGTATAGCTAACAATGAATTAACTTGATAAAAATATCTAATATAATATTATTTTTATATGCTCTTGTATATTGTGTTGTGTTTAGGCCTAAGAATGTATTGCTTCTCTAGAATATGAGAGAAATAATTTTTATGTTATGTTCTGCATTTATATTTTTATGCATGATTTGCTAAGTTTGACTAAAGAAATATGCACAAAATTGTTTTTGTTTTCTAAAATTTTGAATTGATGTTTTGGGTTCTGCTCTTGTTTTGAATCACAAGTACCAGTGCATTGCCATTATTTCTGTGTGGAATAAAAGAACATGGCAGTAACTTCTTCACATCTGGTTGTTCATAAATGGAGATGCAGATGTCATCATGAGAAAACTGTAAAAACTTATCAAGCTGGTGAAAACTGTTTTTGCAATTCAGAAGAAGAAAAAGCTGTGGAAAAATAACTGGATGATTAACAGCACATAAACACAACCTGCTCCCACTTCCCAGAATTTGCACCAGATTGAACCTTTTGATGCACTTACACCAAGTAACAAGAAGGTAGAAGGGGTTGCACAGTAATTACTCGTAAGAAAAGGTGACCAGACTGTGACATGAACTACTTTTACGAGCAACATAATATCAGTGGTTCTTCTTATTGATTCTGATATGAAATTATAGTGTTATAGAAAATGGTATTTCTCATATAGCGGATTATTTTATCCTTTACAGTATCTGCCATTTCTAGGATTACCTCCGTGTGTCACATGTTACACTAAAGAAAGCATGTCAGTCCTCTTAAGGTACAAATGACCAATATGATCTGTCTGTCAAATTATAAAGTATATAATGGGCTAATGCATGTGTATAGCATTTATACAAACAGTCTTTACTCAAAAATCAAATTCTAAGTCTCATGCCACTAATGAATAAGTTTATTTAAAATAAAATCCTAGGAAGAGAAAGAAGTGTTTTGAATTTAATAGTGCACCGCAGTTTCTGATTATTCTGCTGATATTATTATATTTATTTTTCTCATTAAATATAATTGTAAATTTTAGAAAACGTTTTTCAGAAAACACAAACTAAATTGTAACTTTGTTATTGTCAACCAGGAGGTCACTGTGATCTGAAAATTTTACAGGGTTATGCAGTGAAAGATAGTTTGTTCCATTTCTTCCAGACCATCAAGCTGCCCTACAGTGAAATGAAATAGCAAACTATGAGAAGCATTGCTAATTAAGACTGCTTATGAAATGTCTGCCAGGATTTAACTCTGGGATTTAATTGCTTAACTGTCTGCTACTGTATTTCACAGCCAGCTGAATCATGCAGAAGCTGTGACGCAGCATAGCTGATAAGTAGTAGTTCATAATTCTGTGACACGTTGTCCAGTAGAACAAATACATCTTTTTAAAGACTTTCTAAAACTTTAAATGTATGTGGTGTGTGAGACTTGACACATTCCATTACTACTACTATTAATAATATCTGCTGTGCGAGGTAACGGAATGTTTAATCTGTTGTAAAATTCCAATGTTTGTAATGATGCAAGTCTTTCAGTTTCTTGTTCATGTCTGGTCACCTTTCTTATGTAAAGCACTTTCAGCAAAGCTATGACCACAACTTCAGTCTGCACCTGTCCATCTTATTGGAGTACAAAGGTACTTGCTTGCTTCAACTATCATCTATTAGACATTCATAATTGGAGCTGAACCCATTTATAACATTCTGTTGTAATAATTGGAAGTGCAGGTAGTTGTAAAGTACAGATATTAAGATGTAGTTTGGTTAGAATTCATTGTAGTATTATTTAATTATTATTTTTTTCTGAAACGTTTGTTGTAAGTAAATTTATATAGAAGTTCACAGTTTTGACAGTATTATTATAATGTTATAGATGGGTTTTTACAGTATGTGCATTTTTCTAGTGTAGATGTAATGGTTCTCACATTGTGACCGTGGTTTGTGTACAATGATAAAAATACTAGCACTAGAAATTTATATTATCTGTTGTTGAAAGCTGTCTGTTTCATCTGAAAGATTTATCACTGCCTCTTAATCTCTAATGTATCAGCAAAAACAAATTGCATATATCTAGTCATGACTAAGCATGGGCATTTGTTTGAATTAATAAATAATTATGTACTGATGTTTATTTTTTATTTAGTTAATTCACAGTTCTTGGGGGCGCAGACATTCATTGGGTGGAATTATTTTTACCTTAAACATTTTGATTTAAGCAATGGCAAGGTATGATTTAACGAAGAAGGCAAGCCAACCGTAAAGTGAAACAAGTGAACAGAAATGTAATTTTCTTGCATTGTAGTTACATTTTCTTGACAAACGTGACTAGTTTATTGTAAAATGTAATTTTTGTAGAATAGCTATGCTTTCAAAAGATCCGTTGATAACACAGTACTGAATTTACATATTATAAATGCTGTATTGTTTGTAATTTGATACAAGATGATTTTAGCCCATTGTTTTGTTTTTTCTTCTTATTCTAAATTTAAATTCTTTGCACCAAGTGAGAACTATACATATACAACATGTTTTGTAAGGTAATGAATAACCATACATTTATGACTGTGCAATTAAGTCTTCTTGTGTGATCATCTGTGTCTGTGTGGAATGAGTTCACAACATTTTGCAGGCTGTCTCTGCCTCCATTATCAGAGATTTTGGTGATGAGTAATACAACTGTATCTTGAAGGTTTACATACAGTTGGCCATCTGAGCTCATTGTCCTTGTCATCCGAGCAGTATTGTAACACTGAAAGTGGCCCTTTATAGGGTGAGTGAATGCCTGACTTCACTCATCATATCAATCCTTGATGGTGCATAGTATAAACTAACTCCATACTCACATGGCTGATTGCCCAAGAAGACTTCATTCTACTCAGTTACCATGAAAGCTTCAAATCTTATATATGATGCACAACTTTTTTATTAATATATTATTGGCAATTTATGGGTGAACAAGCAGCCAAATCTGGTTATCGATTAATAATTTTAAAGAAGGAAAAATTTGCTATACTGATGCTGCACAGTTAGTATTAACTGGGCAGAAATCTAGGGATTTTGTAATTTATTTAGTGGTTCAATAGATAGAGAACAAAAGAAGCATAAAATTTAGGTGCACCATTTGAATTACAAAGCTGGCAAGTGTGTTCTCCTTAGTAGTATTTTCAGTATCTGGCCATATATTATAAAAAAAAGTTGAAGTAATAAAAGATTTATGTGTTAAAGTTCCAAAAATTTAGTATATTTATTTGGAATTGAGTGAATTCCATTTGATACAATTCACACCAACTTGTTTATTTTATATCAGGCATAATTTTTTGCGTGTTTGAAAATGAATATGTGATTAAAACTTTTAAATATGGCATGTAAAAAGAACTCATTTCAACTTAATAACCTGTCATAATGATGAATGGTTATGTTAGGCATTACATATCATTAGTTACAAAAATTGTTATTGTGGAAATATTTACAATCTATTCCTCTTTATTTCATTGTTTCCAAGGAAATAATTAAATCAATAGTGAAACATGTCTTCAATACTGTAATTTACTATGTGTTTCTTGGGCATCAAACTACAATTTTCCATCGTACATTTTCTCTCATTGAGAAGAAAGTGTATAGATATTGAAATCAATAGGCAGATACATCAGTAAATTGGTTTACATACTGGGCATGTTATGATGAAAACATGTAACTGTTATTTTCCATAGCAAGGGGCTCTAAGATTCTTTAACTTTATTAGTCATTATTATGAGAGTTTTGAGTATATATGTCATGCTATTAAAATTATTTGTGTCCCTTGATACACCTATGTGTTTCTATCAACAGGACCATTTTTGGACAATGATTCTCTGCATCAGAAGCCACCAAGGTATGTCAGTCCGCCACCAGCATGGCAACCACCTTGGTCTCCTGTGCACCACAGCAGTGCAGGTACAAGATCAGCAGAATTGCAAGGTCCACAGGCATTCTGGACATTACCGGCAAGGAGATCTCAGTACCAAGAGACTGACAGTAATAAGTCAGTGAACGGACAAGAATTGTATGCCAGTTATCAACATAACAAACGGTTCAACACCATAGCAACGACTAAAAGTGTTGAAAACATAAATTGGAAACAGTTGTATGCTTGCTGTGATGACAGGCCACAGTCAGCAATTAAAAGTAATTGTGAAGTTCCTTCTGCGTCTGTTGGTGCTTACCAGTCTAGTCAGAATGATAATTCCTTTCATCATGGTCAGAATGTGGTTCACCAAAATTATGGGTTTGTCAAAGGTCCAATGTATTCACAGCTGCGACCAAAGTATCCAACTCCTGCCAGCATTCCAAATGTACCCACTGATAAAAGGGCATATATGCAGAGCCACAATGGAGTAACTTACAATGCAAATTATAAAACTCATGTTCCATTATGGCAAAGTGCCCAGAATGGCTTCTATTCATCTACACCTACAAAAGATAGGATGGGATCACTCTTACAGAATGACTCTACAGTGTCTTTTGGGACAGTACTTTCACCCATTGAAAAGTATTCTCAGAAGGAAGAAATAGCCAGGCAATTTCCAAGAACCAGTGGGAGTAGATCTAATGCAACAGTCACCAAATTATCTCATGAAGGTAGGAGTGATGCACAAAAACTTGTTTGTGCACCTAAGACATCAATGACATCAGAAGAGATCTTTGCTGCTATCCATAAATCAAAGAAACGGCTTAATATTAAAACAGATTCTGATAGCTACAGCCGCAGTGGTTCACCATCATGTTCTTCACTGACTAGTCTTTCGCCTGGAAGCTCAGAGTCATCTGTCCATGGCATTGGAAGGAGCACTACACCTGTTAAAGGAGGTCCAGAGACTGGTTCTTTTGATGGTGACAATACGATTGGAAGCAGACATAGCTGGTCTCCAAACTCAGGAGAATACTTTGATTTCTATAGTCGTTTTGAACGTCGAACTCCTTCCCCAGTAAAATCCCCTGGTTCAAGGCAAAGCTGGGCAAGTGATAGGTTAGGCCCTCAGCAACAAACTTCTAGGAATGACTTCAAACGCTTGTTACTACAGCAGGGAACAGCAGGATCTGGCAACTCAGTTGGAAGGATATCAGCAGTGGAACAGCTGAGGTTGACAAAACAGCAAAAACCAGGAGGTCCTTCTTCAAATGGTACAGTTAATAACAGTTACTTTCCAAGAAGTCCTGCAGAAAAACGAACAGGTACTTCCAAACTTCTTCAGTCTCCACGTTCCAATACAATGTGGAGATTTACTTCACCCAGAACAGATGTTCTTTCCTCCACAATACTGGAAGATTGTGCAGAGGAAGAGAATGCATCTAGTTCCCCTCAACACTCCCCAGCTACTCCACATACAAATCAACTACAACCAACATCAGTTGGTGATGGAAGTTCTTCAGTACGAAGACCATTGAATTTATCTTTTGACAATAATGCTAGACATTATTCTAGCAAACAAGAGAAGCCTCTTACATCACAACAGAATTCAAGGGAATCATCTCCAAAAAGCCTTACCAGTAATTCAGCTTCAAAGAAGGTCCCAACTTCAGAGACAAATACAACACCCAAAAATATCTATTCATCAAAAGTAAGCCACCATAAAAATGGTGGCCTGCTGTCCTCAGAATTGTTGTCTCCATCAAATGTGAAGGAGAATGTAAACACCAATTTGCAACCCCAAAATGTGAGTACAAATTCAGGTGATAAAGTTACACCAAGTGGTGCAGCAGCTAACAGTGTAATGAGTCTTAGGAACCATCAGCCAATTGCTCAGGTGATTCTGCAATCTCCTTCACCTCGAATCAATATGCTTCTTGCCAAACAGAAAGGACATCAGTACTCCAGTCATGGAACTACTGCTAGGTCCATCCTTGGTTCTCTGACAGCTTCAAAGTCTCCACCTAAAGCAGCTCTTGAAACTGCTCTGTAAACTATGTTAATTTGTTAGGAATAAGAGTGTGGAACTCTGATGAAATTAGTCTCCAGCTGAAAGCACTGACCATTTTCATACTTCGGTTAAAAATGGAGGTTTGTTGGAACACAAAGTGTTTGAATAATTAAGCAGTCTTGTAAGTTTGAAATTTTTGAAGCTCATTAAGGTCCATATTTTTCAGATTTTCATTGTGTTTTGAAATTTATAATATGATTTGGACAGACAGTTTTGTTCAGCACATTCCAAATTCAAAACAAATTTGATCTTTCATTTATTGTCACATATTTTATAAACATATTCTTCAGTGTTGAGAATTAAAATAGCATTTCAATTTTAGATGATGAAACAACTTTTCAGGTAGTAAATCTAAAATTGTATTATTTTGGATAAATTAAAATACAAACATCTGAGGTTTACTTGTTGACCTGTAAGTATATACAGTGTAAAATTTTATGGGTAATTATGTGTAGCATTGAAAGGAAGTTGGTTGTTTTGGAAGAATGTACTATCTTTTCCCTGGAAATTTTCAGTAGCTTCTTCCAGTACTGTACATGCAGCATTACAATCTAGAACAATCTGATTGCTTTGAGGAGCATTCAACTGGTGAAAAACTTTCCTGCTTTCATGGACACTGAAAGTTTTTTTACCTGTTCACATGACCCTGCCACTACAACCAAAATTAAATTTACAAACTTTTATAAACTAAATTATCAAACTGGAATTCAACATAAGTCAATCAAGATTGAAATGTTTTAAAGCCAGAATATGGGATCAGACATTGGATTATGAGGTTAATATATTCATGCCACTTGTATAAGGCAATGATAGTGTTATCCTTCCTGTCTTCCTATCATTATTCTTTCCATTCACTATGTTTCCATTGGCACATTGCGATTTTCACTGAAAAGGACAGCAGAAATGCAATACAATTTCCAAAATCATTCCTTTTGATTTTTTGTCAGTGTTTATGACTATGATCTAGCAGTCAAGGGGTTGAGCTACTCTTTGGACCTGTTCCAGCTTCAGTTGTCCAAAAGTCTCTTTTGAGTTCTGCCTGTTTATTAAACTGTGTAAGTTGTATGTTAGTTTTGGAAGTCTATCCTTTAATACTGTCAAGATGTTGAAGTCATCAGGTTTTACATTTCAACATTTTGTCCGATACAAGTTCAGTTTTAGAAGTGTATGTTTCTTTTCTTATGAATTTCATTTCAGTGGGTATAATTCTTGTCTTGTCTTTAATTTTTCATTATGCAGTTTTTCCTCCCGTAAGTGTTTAATAAAGCTAGGGTGTTTGTTAAATGGGGTTTATAAGGCTTGTAACTTGCAAAAGTTATAAATGTTAGCTTGCATGTCTTATCTTTCTTCATGTTTGGATGTTCATTTATTGCAAAGAGAAATCTGTTGTTGACAGACATTATTAATATTAAAATGCTATACTGATTATAGCCATAAATTTATTAATGAAGAGCCAATCAGCAGAAAAGTTAGTACACTATATAGAAGCATAAATTATTTGTCCTTGCATTTTGATTAATTTATACCAATGTCTGAAATAAAATTTATGGATCCTGTTTTTATTTCATGTACTCACTTTATGTATAATGGTCTGTTTATGAGAAGTGTAATGTTTTATATAACCTTCATGTAATGTGGGAATTATAGTCAGCTGACCACAATTAAATTCATTTTACATCTCTTATATCAGAAACTTGAACTAAATGTAACCAAAATTTGCTAGTTAAGTAATTTAGGAGAGGAAGCATGCAAATGGGCAGTCAAACATAATCCTTTTATTGTGTGTTCAGTTTATGCACTTAGTGCAAATAATAACTATAATAAATTATTTCAGGGTTAAATGTTGTACACATTTTATTAACTGGAACTCATTGCTGATCCTGCTTTTGGGTGCTGGCACCAAGTGGACATGGGCTGTGTTGCTGATGTTTCAGAGGACCATACTGCAACATTGCCAACCCCTTTCCACATGGTTCCAGCACCCAAAAGCAGGATCAACATTAACGACAAGTTACTGTGAAAGCTTTAAATCAGTTACTGCAACTCTGTGTTTATTTTCAACCATGCTTATTAAATCCAAACCCGAACTTAGGTTTATTTGAAATATTATAATCCAACTATACACAAGTTTCACTTTGTCTTGTGTTCAGTTAACTTGTGACAACAAGTTTCGGGTTATAAACCCATCTTAAGGTAATAAATACCTTTTATATATTTCTACACTGCTATAAGCCACTGAGATTATAATAGTCTAAAATGGACATTAAAGTCACTTAAAATATATCTTACACCACTTCATTTTGGTTGAATATTTAAGAACAGTTTCTGAAAATTTTGGTCGAGATAATACTCTCATGCCATTTGGTTTCATTTTCTTATATATTACATTTGTTTTTAAAAGAGGTGCTCATTTTTCTGCTACAGGAAAATATTGTTACAAATAAATGGATTCTGAAGAGGTAACTTGGGGAGTTGCATTACGGATTCAAACGTGTAGTAACATTAAATTGACAGAAAATGTTATTTCTTATGACACTCTTGCCCTTCATACTCTCTGAGAGTTTAAAACTGAAAGATATTTCTGAAGTATTTTGTTTGTTTGTAAATAGTGTAGTTACGTAGTCTAGTCCGATCTGCAGCCATATTGTACACAAACTGGAAGTTCACTTTTATGACATTCCTACAATATTGTTGTGATTGAAAGCTATTTAATTTAATCTGCAGTACTTGTTTCAAGCAATAATTTTATTGTTTACAAGTATCATATGGTACAACTTTACCACAACATACAGCTTTAATTATATTAAGAGGCTGTGTATTGAGATCCTGGCATACTGGAGTAGTCTTCTTAACTCTACAAAATTAGCGATTATTAATGGAAGACACTTGTTGGATTGGTTTGTATGCCTTTTTAATTAAACCTTCACAAGTATAAAAAATCAATAAACATCAAGAGAAACATCTCGTGGCAAGAAATTTGAGAGAGGTTGACAAGTAATGATTTTAATAAAGGAGGTGGTCAGTCAGAACCCTGAGAACTTCAGGACCCTCAGAGTCACCACTTGCAACATGTTACTAGAACTATGAAAACTGTTTTATTCTCATATGTTTGTGTCTGCATTTATCTGCCATATATTAGGTATTGAGTCACTTTTTGTGTACAGCTGTAAAATTGTATTCAGGAGGCCTGGAAGCTAGCTATCCTGACTTGAGGTTTTTCTTGGTTATATTCAGTCCCTCCAGGCATATGCCAGGATAGTACTTTGAATCAGGCTATGACCACTTCCCTCCATCTCATTCCAATTCATTAATCATATTATCATTTGATGCTATGTACTCTGAGCTACTGACAGCACCGTTAAATAGACCATAAATAAAATAAAATCTATGAAAGAATCTTTAAGCTTTGTGTAATTTTGGTGGGTTTTCTTTGCCACAAGAGAGAGTTGTTGGACATGTTTCAGTTTCAAGGCATTTGTGTTATGTTACAACTTTAAAAGATAAAGACATGTAAAATGAAGTTTACCATTTGTAAACCTATGCTGAAGAATGTACTGTTTACTTTTCGTATTTATGATATAAAAGGTATTGCAAAGTTGCTTTATTGAAATTGCATTTAATGGTTCATAAATATTAATATATTCATGACAAAGAAACAAAATATAACATCATGGGTAAGTAAAGGCCTTTGACTTACAAAATTGTTTTTATACTCTTAATACATATTTATTAAAAAGAAAATAAAGAGGATGTAAATCTGTTTCTGCTTATTAAACTTTCCAGCCACTGTTTTCATTCCTTTATTGATCTTACAGACATAAGATGCCTACCAATCCAAGATCCTAAATTCTGCCACAGCTCTAAACCTGCATAAAGGATTCATCTCAGTAATCAGTTCCATAGGGCAGGCTTAACAATGACAATAGTAAATTTTTATTATATTTCTTAATTATACATTAAGTTTATATTTAAATAAAGTATTGTTTTTATAAGATTTTTTCAAAAATCTTCATATTTCATATATGTTGGAAAACTGGGATGTCTCTTAACGCCATACATATTTGTATGTGACATGCAAACATTTGACTCAGATTCACTTTGGTGAACATTTTTACATTTGCATGATGATTTACATCATTCAACATCTGGGATAGCAAACCACATGTATCTTTGCTTACTGCAAGTCAGCAACAGTTCAGTAGCTGACTATTTATTTTCTATTATTGAATTTCCTCCCAGAGACTCAGTTTTCAGTTGATAATACTAGAGCTTACTGTTTAACAGTTCAAATGATGTGCAGGCAGAAAACTGATATTTATACTAAAGGAAAAGGATGATAGTTGGGAGACCTCGGTTATGCATTTTTACCTCATTTTCTTTCAGTGCATACTTTTAAATAGTAAGTTGGAAAAACTTAATCAACTATAAACCATAAGATATTTAATCTCAAACAAGAATAATATAATGTAAAGAGAATGTGATAAAACATATTTGCAGAATTTGGGAAGGACATATCTTAAAACTTGTGACATGACTGGAGAGTAATTTCAAACCTTCCTGTACAGTATTAACATACGTTAATGTTTTTTTTCTTCTATATTCACCTTTGCATTATGCAGGAAATAAATATATTCAAAAATGAAGTAGCAAATATCATACTTTATTTGCTGGCACAAAGTACAAATACAAAAGAGTTCCTTTACTCATTTCAAATGAATATAAATTTAATGTTTCATGTGTCCATCTGTATTTTGCACAGTCCAAACTACAAAACTATTTCTTCATAGGAGGTCCCATTGGTCCACCAAGTAATGGAGGTCCTCTCATAGGGCCCATTGGACCCATGGGTCCCATTGGCATCATTGGTCCCATCATGGGAGGCCTCATTCCCATCATTGGAGGCATTGGCCCATGTGGTCCCATCATCATAGGTCCCATGTGTCCATGGTGCATTTGCATGCCTGGTGGTCCCATCATTCCTGGACCAGGCTGAGGAGGGCCATGAACAGGACCTGGAGGTCGAGGAGGTCCCCCGTGAGGCATGTTGGTTGGTGGTGGAATTGCTGCACCTCCTTTATTTGAGGCAAATGGATTGGATGCTATTTTCCCCGCTTTGAATGCTGCAGTTGTTGCATCAATAAGATGTTGTGCTTGTTCTTCCATCCACTTTTGGTAATAAAATTTAACATTGTCTTTGTGTTTGCGACCTTGACAGTGTGTTTTCCTCACAGATGGAGAATCATGTGTTAAGTAGGTATCACAATAATCACAGTAATATTTTGGCATCTTCGAGGTTATGTTCACTCACAATTTACGTCCCATACAACACAATAGTATTCAATATAGTATATTCAGTCCCCAAGTATAAATATCTCAACCTGCTATCAAACAAGCAGTTCTGAAAATAAGTTCAAGTACCGAAACTAGCCTGCTTCTTACGTTCCTCCACTAATCTTGGTAGGTTATTTACGTATACACCAAAATGTCTAACGGTTTAGAATGAATGCTTTTAGAATACCATGCAATTTACCAACGAGGCGAATATGCCGCCATCTTCAAACGAGATTCGACACTTAATACTGGTTTACTATTGATATTTAATTTTCCAATGTTGACAGTACACAGAACTTGGAAGTATCTTTATGCTAAATCTGTCATATCTACACAGAACGTTTTAGAATGATGTAGATGTTACAGATGATTGTAATGAATTAATGGTTGCAGTGCCCACTGTCCGTGTTCGACCACACGGAAACCTTAATTGAGAAAGCCTGTAACGTCTGTTATGTATGACATAAATGCCTCTAATGTAAGCGACTTTGTTATTTTTATCCTCGCTTTGCAGAACAGCAGAAAAATAAATGTTTAGAATATTTCGAGAGTAGTCTGACATCGAGGATTTAATTTGATATAATACCGCGCCATCCTATCGAGTGCATTATCGATCAACAGTTGAGTTATCATTTGGATTATTTGTTGCTTGTGTCAAGCCAGTATGACCAAAACTATATTGTACCCATGTTTGAATGTTCGTGTCGTTCTGCGCTTTTTTGTATTTCTTGTACTCTCGGGATAGAGACAAATCCAGACCAAATATTTAAGAGGTAATGGTGCTGATTTCTCAATTGCAAGTCGTTTTTTGTATTTTTATATACCGAATATTCGTACAAAATGATGCAGTTAACATAGCTTAAAAAATCAGCATATGTATGGGTATGGTGGAGCGAAGCTATAGCCCCCAAGCATTGATAACATTGGCATTAGATAGAGGTGAGTGGTCTGCTTCACACTCCCCTGTACCCATTGGATGGGAGATGGGGTGGGCCCCAGAGTTGTGCTGGACATGATCATGAAGCGAGAAATGGCTTCTGCTGCCAGGCATAGAACCTGAGGTTGACAGGATAGGGACCAGTCATTTATATCAACTTGTCAGCTGCAAAGAATTATTTAACTATGACATTGAAAAACTATTTTTGTCTGCCTCTTGTAGCCAGCATCAAATCATGTTTTATTAAACCTCCTTATATACATCATATAGAAAGGTGAATTAATTGCTTCGATGACAAGGACAGGCCCAAGCAATGATTGTTTAGATGCCTGTCACATTAAGCTGTAACTCTCATCCCACATATTTAACCCTTTCAAGCCGAAGAATATCTTAATAATGTTAAAGATCAGTTCCTACAGGAAAGAAAAACAACACTTCTCTGTTATAAAGATCAGTTGGTTAATGTTGTGTAGG